TTCCGGCCGGGCAGGGGGGGTTTCGGCGACCTGTTCCGGACTCATGTGTTCCTGACGGCCGGGAACCTCTTCCAGCCCAACTTAGGTCAGTCCTGATGTTGTTCTTTGATAGAATTTTGTGTAAAATTTTATTTTCATTACATTTGTATCTCTCTGTACAAAAGAAATTTATATGAATCTTTATTTGCATGTTCATGCCCATGGGGCTAAATGCTGCATCGGAGTGTGATGTTACTTGTATGTCATAATGTAACCTAATACATAGGATAGAAGGATAAAACAATAACATAAATGTCTTAGGAACTACCAGAGAATACATTCTATCTAATCTACCTCTTTAAGATTTCTTCCCTTTTTTTAAAGCAACAGGAGATGAATTCACATTTTTTCACTATTTTTCTATTGTGTGGTCATTACTAGACATGAGATGACTGAATACCTATTTCTCTGTTCTCAAAACTATGTTGCACTGATTTACTAACCTGATGACATATTTCCTGACATTGATCTGTAGAGGATGTTTATAACTACCGTGACCACTGGGAGAGGATGCGGTCGGACGTCCGCTGGTCGTACGGCGTGGGGATCCTGTTCCGGCTCGGCCGCATCGCCAGATTAGAGCTGAACTACTGCATACCAGGGGGGGCCAGGACGGGGGACAAGTAAGGACATTTTCATAAGGTTTACCTTCGCAGGAGAAAAACTTGTATTTTCTCAGTTGTTTTCTTCTTCTTCTAGAAAATAGGTACAAGTAAGGACACTTTCGTACCTTCTAACAACTCTACAGTTTCACTGACAAAAGGTAGTGGATACTACCTGAAACTTCTGACCATTTCCAAGATCATATCCAGTTGCTTGAGTAACTGTTTTTTGGCATACATGTATGTTATTACTACAATTTTCATTATTTTCACTCATTATTTGCTGTTACGTCGATGAAGGTTAGACATCCAGGTAATACGATATGCCAAAAAACAGTTACTCAAGATACTGGATATGATTTTGAAAACGTCAGACGTTACAGCTAGTATCCACTAGCTTTCGTCAGTGACTGAGAGACCAGAGGGGAAAGCAGGTTTATATACACAACCTGTTGATTGATATGCAAATAAGGTGAAGACAAATTATTTGCTGTTGTTTTGTTGTGCTATTGTTGTTTACATGTTGTCCTGTTTGTTGTTTACTTCAGAGTGAGTGAAAGTGTACAGCTGGGGGTTGGCGTCACCTTCCTGTGATGAAGCAACGACTCTTGAGAACACCCCTGCTGGAGAGTGGGACCGGCCACGGTCCCAACAGAAGTGACATTGTTTGTCTGCAAGTGCTGGGTGCTACCATTGCCCAACAGGGGTGAAAATCATGAAAAGGAGAGTGAACAATATTTGAGACTGAATGAAGAACATCTGAAACTTTTCTCATGCATGAAACACAATCAGGACCAGGAATACAAGTGATATTCAGTCGTAGCTAGAAGTATTTGAAACAGAAACTTGTCAGATGGATTTTTTTAGAAAGAGTGAAAAGAGGATTTGTATTTGTATATGTAACCTGAATGGTGAATATCCTTCTAAAATTACCATACTGTCAGGATGTGTCTGCTAACAGTGATCGTTTTGTATGTTGAGTAATTAATTATGTTGTTCCAACAATAATGAGATGGGATTTTGAACACAAGTGAAGAAATGAAACAAAAATAAAACAATTCCATGACCTCAGGAACATGAGTAATCTGTCCTTTGGGTAATTTTTTTTAACCTTAATTCAGTTTATTCAATCCAACAAAATCGTACTAAAGCAGGGAATGCTAATGCACCCCTGAATTATGTAATTGATTTTTACATTTGGTTAAGAAACAAGACAGGACAGGTACACAGAAACACATTATATACAAATATGTACAAACACCATTTACTCTACAACAGGAAATAGCAGACACAGGTTTTCAAATATCAGCCATTGTCACTGACATTGTAGAGTCTTGCTGCACAATGCAAGAAAGACTTTTTCAGGCATAGAGTCCTATCCTTAGGCAGTTTCAGTCTTGATAAATGTAGGGTCATTATGTACTGACTCTGACATGGCAGTAGAAAATACACCAGTTCTTGGTTTGCAGTTGGGGGGGAAGAACATACATTATGATAGTAACATACAATACTGGTATGCATTGTAGTTCATTGCATTGTGGTACAGCTGGACCAAGATTTGGAAAGTTCCATAAGGCGACCGACCATGATGTCAATCACAGTGATTGACAGGGACAGCTCACCATGATTGACAGGGACAGCTCACCATGATTGACAGGGACAGCTCACCATGATTGACAGGGACAGCTCACCATGATTGACAGGGACAGCTCACCATGATTGACAGGGACAGCTCACCATGATTGACAGGGACAGCTCACCATGATTGACAGGGACAGCTCACCATGATTGACAGGGACAGCACACCATGATTGACAGCATTGATTGATTTCTCCCGTGGCTAGAGTCTAGACCAAAGACATGGAATGAGTTGTGATTTGGAATGCAACAAAGTGGCTTGCCTTTGTATTGTAAAACAGAATGCAGCACACCTCATTATGCCCAAGACAGTTTACTAGTACAATGTACTTAGCGAACGCCGTGAAGGTGCGTGAAAATCACCAAATGATGCCATCCCAGGTTTGAAGACCCATCCTAAGTAAAGTCACCACTACACATGCAACACATAAGATACACACTTCTACCATATCACTAAAAAATGTAAAGCTACATCAAGAAACCTCCTTGGTTACACAAGAAAACAGTTTCTCAAGCAAAGTAGCACTATAACTGTCTATCATTTTCTTTCTATAGTTTACCAACTCATCAATATAGAGCAAGGACACCTTGTTACATTATAAATATAATATCCAAGCAGATCCTAGGGTGGCAAGGCTGCAATCATTGGCCAAAGGAGTGACTAGTATCCACCATTGGCCAAAAGAGTGGCCATTAGTCACCTATATTGACTGCAACTTTAGGGGCAAAGATTGTAACCAATGGTTGTATCCAAAGGAGTGACCAATAGGCACAGGTGGCCAATTGTCACTCCTTCCACCAATATGGTTAATACAGCTTTGCCACCATAGGATCTGCTTGGAGATTACTGTCAAAAACCTTTAGCGCACAGACATATCCTTGGTTAGTGTTACTCTCCAAGCAGATCCTAGGATGGCAAAAGACAGTATCAAATTGGCCCTTGATTGACGTATGGAGCCTTTCTGGCGAATGGATACTGCCTGGCCAAAAAATGATACTGCCTTGCCACCGTATGATCTGCTTGGAGATTAGGTCAGTGTTAGTGGATGGTCCCCCGTATATTACCCATCATTCCCCACGTTCCAAGATGGCTGCCGAGGGAGAGAAACAGGCGGGCTGCAACCCCGTATTCACTCCGGAGGTGCGTACCGTCGTCTGCACGATAACACAGACCGTTTTTCCGTGATGTTTGTGATATCAGCTTTATCTGGGCGTAGTTTTAGACCGTTAGCTCGTCTGTGAGCGGTTTTATACACCGTTTTACATCGGTGTTATGCGTAACGTTACCGGAACATGTGAACCGCTTCATCATGACCGAACGGACGTAAAAAATATATATGATAACACAAACCATTTCCTCGCGAAGCTTGTGATATCAGCTTTATCTGGGCATAGTTTTAGACCGCTAGCCTGTCCGGGGTGGTTCTAGCGGCCTTTTTACATCTGTGTTATTCGTACCGGAACATGTGTATGAACCCCCTCATCATGACCGAGCGTTCGTAAAAAAAACTATGATGTTTTCTCGCGATCGAGGCGGTTATGTGTCATTTTTTCCTGAGTTTTGTGGGTTGAACTGGACTCCTAGGTCGCGGAGAAGAGGAAGGGGTGTGCAGAAAGCGACAGAGATGTGTGAAAACCCCGCCAGAGCCCCCCGCTAGCGGCTGTGTCCGTTCTCTGGGGTGTTGTAGTGTGAAGCACCTGTCGGTCATCGGTCGGGGGCTGTGCTAATCTCCAAGCAGATCCTAGGGTGGCAAAACACAGTATCAAATTGGCCAGGCAGTATCCATTGGCCCGTATTGGACCTTCTCTGGCCAATGGATACTGCCTGGCCAATTTGATACTGTGTTTTGCAATTGTGCCACCCTAGGATCTGCTTGGAGATTAGTCAGGTGGGACAATAGACGTGCCGACTCATTGTTTACTGTGGGAGGGGGGGACTTAACGTACATGTTTTACACACCCATTCTTACCATTTGCATCTTACTGTTATATTAGAACTTTCCTTCTTTAGCCCAAGTCATATTGGCACTCGACGTAAGTAAAATAAGTCAACATGCATATCTATTGTTTATCATCACTTTATGCTCCAGTTGTGCTAGCCTAAGTTTAGCGAGTAAAGTAACCTTTTTTGTTTAGCTGGGTACCTTCCTCATTAGTCTTTGGTCATTCCCAAATTGTAAGACAATGGTATAAATTAGCCATGGAGACTCTTGATTCGGGCTTACATTGCATTACCCTCAGCAAGAGTCGTGGAAAGATCCATTGGCAGAACTGCACATTTCCCGTTGGCTGCGCGATGATCCGTTTTCGCCCCATTTTTTTCTGTCCCGAACTACACTGCAATATTACCCCACAATTGGCCAGGTTGCCGATGTTCAGATCCGCCTAAATATTCCCCAGTGCGACCGAAAACCACTAAATATCGCTAGTTTACAAACCGGCCGGCGGCCATCCTGGGCCCAAGGCTGTGCTTGGTGCTTTGTCTGTTTTAGCTGCTCTGGGGCTTTCCATGAGGGCATTCCCTGGTCATCTTGAGGTTGTTGTTTGTTGACTTGTTTGTTTGTTTGTTGCAGGAGTTCAAAGGTTACCCGACGCAGCCCAGCCCCCCCCAGTTCGGACCCCAGCACCCCCCTACACCAGCCCCCCGTCTACGGAGGACTTTTGTTTGTTGACTTGTTTGTTTGTTTGTTTCAGGAGTTCAAAGGTTACCCGACGCAGCCCAGCCCCCCCAGTTCTGCCCCCAGCACCCCCCTACACCAGCCCCCTGTCTACACGGAGGAGGACTACAAAACCTTTGACATCATCCGAGCCACGCAGTACGGAGTGATTGACAGGTGTCATGTGAGTCAGAGATACTTATTTCGATCTTAGATTTAGAGACCACATGTTAGAGAATAGTTAAACCTTTATTGTTACCGCATACATATATTCTGTATGTAAGATGACGTTATCCATACATGTATTTAACTTTGTTAGATCTTTTAAGTTTAGTTGTAGAAGACCATACAAAAGTCCCTGTACTTTTTGTTGAGTCAATAAAGAATCTCTTTCATGTGCGAGTATCAGGTACTAATTATTGAAAGTAGGTATGTCTAGTACTAGTAGATACGCCAAAAACAGTTATTCAAGCAACTGGATAATATGATATTGGAAACTGTCAGACATTTCAGGTAGCATCCACTACCTTTCGTCAGTGACACTGGAGAACTCGTGCAAAAATGTCTATTAGATGTTACCAGATGACACCATTTGCACAAGTTCTGTGTCTCACTTTCTGGTTTAGTGTGTTTGTTTCCAAAGTAAAAATGTATAATTTCAGGAAAATGGGTTGTCCAAGGCAGATTTTTTTAAATGATACTGAACATGTCTTGGGAAAGGAATATGTAGATGAGAAGATGTGTCTTGTAGAAGTTATTTGTTCTGTTACTTAAATGATGCCATTTTCTGTCATTTCAGTTCTACCCTTACCCTTTCAGATGTGACCATCTTGTGTACCAGACCTTACAGTTTGGTCTGTATTCTGTCCTGTGTCCTGTAGGAACTGGTTGAAACCGGTTTCGACGTGCGCACACCGGACAAGGAGAATGTCACGGTTCTACACTGGGCAGCCATCAACAACCGGCTGGAACTGGTCAAGTTAGTAAACACAACCGAATACTCATACCATGGACTGACAGTTATAAGAACCTGTTATGAACCCACTAGGAAACCCCTCCTATGTGAGAATGTTAGGACCCGATGAACACCCCTATATAGGAGTTACGAGTAGAATAGTCCAGAGAGATCACTCTTGTTATAGAGTGCACAAAAAGGGGATTAAAAGTTTGTTGCCACACCCAGTCATAGCATGAACTGATACCATGGTATTACTTAGTTATAGAGACCAAAATCTTTAAAAGTTTATTTCACCATAAAGTTTTTCAAGTTTTCTCTTATAGTCACATAGTATAACACATAAATATTGTATTAAGGTGTCTGTCTAGTTCCATACCTAAATGGGTGAGGGTTAGGATCAGGCACGGTTCTGGATAGTCTCCACTTAACCAAGAGCATACATGTAGACTTACTCCAGGCACATCTGGACTATCCAGAACCGTGGCTGAGCATGTTTCTAGATAAAGCGCAGTTCTGGATACATGTGGACTATCCAGAATCTTGCTTGAGCATGGTTCTGGATAAAGCAAGGTTCTGGATACTTGTGGACTATCCAGAACCATGCCTGAGCATTGTTTTGGATAAGGCAAGGTTCTGGATACTTGTGGACTATCCAGAACCGTGCCTCAGCATGTTTCTGGATAAAGCAAGGTTCTGGATACATGTGGACTATCCAGAATCTTGCTTGAGCATGTTTCTGGATAAAGCAAGGTTCTGGATATGCATGCACTATCCAGAACCTTGCCTGAGCATGTTTCTGGATAAAGCATAGTTCTGGATACATCAACACAGTCCCCTCTGTTACAGGTACTACATCAGTAAGGGAGCGATCATTGATCAGCTCGGGGGGGAGCTAAACTCCACCCCTCTCCACTGGGCCGTACGGCAGGGCCACATGTCCATGACTGTCCTACTCATGCAGTACGGAGCCAACCCTGCACTTCTGGACGGGGAAGGTGGGTTGTTTGTTTGTTTGTTTGTTTGTTTGAACCTCCCTTTTTCTACATGATGGCTATTTTAAAGTCGGATTGAGAATTAAGGTTCTATGCCCAGTGTTATATTGCAGATTATGTCTTTACTGGTTGACCATCAAATTGTTGTCTGTTGTGTTGATTGATCATGCCTGTGTGCGGTGACACGTTTAGATGTTCATTGTGTTGCAAGTTGTTGTGCCTGTTTGTGGGTCACTTATAGGGAATTAGTAGTGTCCATTGCATTTTGTAATATTTGCCTGTGCGTTGGTCACATGTATAACCTAGGTGTCCGTTGTGTTGCAGGTTGTGCCTGTCTCCACCTGGCTGCCCAGTTTGGCCACACATCTATAGTCGCATACCTGCTGGCCAAGGGACAGGTGAGAAAGGCTTACACCTGGGGTAGTTTTGTGTTTCAAGTTAGAACATTTTATTTGTGTTTCAAGTTAGAACTTTTTATCCAACACAAAGAAGTTCTCTCACCTAGAGAACAGTCTTACATCTGTGGTGGTTTTATACAATGTCATGTGACTGCTACTCTTCCACGAGAATTCATACATGCAAAATGATGTGACAGTGAAAAGTAACATTATAAGACAATAAAAGTGCATGCATGTACCATATTGTAACTTTGCATGTGTCATCATCTGGTCCTGAGAGTTTCACAGATGCTCATGACCCCTTTCCCCCAGCCCTCCCTATCCTCCATAGCCCTGGGCAGGTCTGCAACCCGCATCCTCACACAGCTGATGTATGTAGGTTGTGCAGGGTCTGCCTACACTGGCATGCCCATGTTTTTGGGGCCCAGAGAAAGACGTCACTAACGATCTCTTCCTTACTCCTCCAAGAATGTCCAGCAAAGCGCAGTCTCCTCTCACAGATGACTTGAGATATGGGGGGAGGTCTCCATAGAGTATGTGTATCAGTAGCTATTGTTAAAATCTGTAGGCTGCTGCGATAGTGTGTAACTCTAATGTCAGTTGGTTCTGCCTGTGATGTCTCACTGTGTGAACACTTGAGTACTGTAGATATCTTCTTACTGTTTATACTGTTCCTGCAGGATGTGGACATGATAGACCAGAACGGCATGACAGCGCTCATGTGGGCAACTTACAGGACATACGGGTGAGTCCTTAGCTTGGTTAAAACTTTAGCAAAACTTGCTGTTTTCATATACACTACTTCAATCCGACCGCTGCATCAGCTGCAGAAGCGCTTCGTTAGGATTGCATCTAATGTCCCATTTTTTGCTAACTCTGCGGCTCTATTTTACAACTTGAAAATTTTAACAGTGTACGACATAAATAAACTCCAAACAGCAATTTTCGTCCACAAAGTCTTACACAAAAGTTCACAATTACCAGTTCAATTCAAGGACATATTTCAATACAACTCAGATATCCACAGTTACAGTACCAGAAAGCAAAATGATTTAAGGCCAATCCTAACAAAATCAAATATGAAACAGTTTACGATAATGTTTAGAGGCCCGTTAATTTGGAACAGTATAAGTCATTCACAGCAGAATTGCCAATCCCTTCCAACTTTCAAACAACATTTAAAAACTGACCTAATAGAGAAGCCATCTACCACTTCCTGATTTGCTTTTGTTTTCCTTGTTTTCTTATGCTACGATATTTTCCTTGCGTTAATATTGGTTTCTTATGTTGTTCTTACCATATGATTTGACTAATGGAAATGTATTTTTTGTTGAATACGATATGTTCTTGATTGTCTTACTTTATTGTTTAGATATTTAGTTTGCCGTGTTAACTTTATATTATCTTGTTTGAGTTAATTTTCTTTTGTTTGTCCCTGAAGACATGCATGTTAATTGTTAACGTAAATAATGTTGTAAATATGAGATCATCAACAGGATTTGGGAGAGCCCACTAGATAAACCTCCTGGTTTCTTGGGCTCTCCTGCATGTATTTGATTGTACATAATTTCTTTTTATACCATTACTTTTCTTATGTGCGAAAGGACAATAAACAATAATAAACAATATCTCGCTATGTTATGGTTGTGACGTCTTGGTGTAATACAGGTTCTTGGCATAGAAAGAATTCACATATGTTTGGCCTGCAGCTGTTTTGGAATAAAAAGGACTAGAACCACAATATGTTGCTGTTGATGTTAGTGTTCCCTTCAGTACGGACCCCACTGACTTGTGCGAGCATGAATGTGTGAGTGTGAACGTGAGATTATAAATGTGTGTGAACATGCAAGTAAAAACATGCAGTAATGTGAATACCGAATGTCACTGACAAAAGGTAGTGGATGCTACCCAAAACGTCTGACCGTTTCCAAAATCATATCCAGTTGCTTGAGTAATTGTTTTTTGGTGAATGCTGTCTCGTTGGTGTCCACCTCAGCACGGAACCGGGGCGGCTTCTCCTGACGTTTAACGCGAGTATGAACGTGTGAGTGTGAACATGCGTGAATGTGTGAACGGACATGCAGAATGTCGAGATGACTCAATGTAGATGTGTTACGAAACTTCTGAGCTTGTTTGTGTTCCCTCCAGCACGGACCCGACGCGTCTTCTCCTGACGTTTAACGCGAGCGTGAACCTGGGGGACAAGTACCACCGGAACACGGCGCTGCACTGGGGCGTGATCTCCGGCAACACCAACGTGATCACGCTGCTCATCCAGCACGGTACCAACCTCAACGCACAGAACGACAGGGTGAGACCTTAGCTCAACCTTTAACCCTTACACAGAACGACAGGGTGAGACCTTAGCTCAACCTTTAACCCTTACACAACACAGAACGACAGGGTGAGACCTAATCAACTATAAAATAAAACACAGAACAGTAGTGTGAGACAGGTATAAACTTGAGTATTAACTCAAATTCTACACAGAATGATAGGCTCAACCAGTAAC